TTGGAGAATGAGGTGTGCAAAGAATTGTTTCCCAAGCCATTGAAGTAAACGATCGRTCTACTTTCTGCTGGTTTAAATCTTGTTTGACAAATAAAAAGTAAAAAAATTACAATAAACTTTCATAGCACTATTTGATGTGCATTCTATCTTCCACCATATCAAGACGTTTGATTAAGAGAAGATTGGGAATTGTGAGCTGCTGYTTCTCGTTCGTATTGTGCTTTCTAAATCGTTTACAACTTGATTGAAGGTGTAGAAACTTGCATGCAAGGTTTCTTCTCTTAAATTCTAGGTGATGGTAACGTAATTTAACAAAAAGTCAGGAAAAAACAAGAGAGATTTCCTGAATCGTTGTTGAGCTCCTTCTCTTCGATCACGTAAGTACAAGCTCCGTCCATCCATCCATCCGTCACGACAAAAAATTGCAAATCTTGCGGATTTTCACGCGCCATCCATTTTTGAAAAATCTTGAACGCGACACAAAATCCCGTATGCTACCCGTACCTACTACTCGCATTCACGTACTACTGTCTTTATCAGTGATCAATAGAAAATCTAAAAAAATATTTTTGATGCGAGAYGTCGATTCGGAAGCACAGTAATTACAATAACATCTGTACCGGACAAGCTCAATCGAAACGATTGAAGAACATCAAAACAAATAGAGCAACAGCAAAAGACGAAGTTCGGATTGGCGGTGGCGTCCTTCGACCAACAGATTAAAGTATCCACAAAAGAATCGAAGGATGCAAGCAGAAGTCTCGACGGCGGCGGCATCTACCTCCACGGCAGCATCGGAAACGCAGCCACCGGCGGAAGCCCTACCAATCGAAAACGTYCGCAGGATGATCGATGCGTGCCACACCGGTGATGTGGCCACGATCCAATCCTTTGCCAAGCAGAATCCCTTGTATTGCTGCCAGCAAGACCCCGAAACGGGCCTCTCGCCCCTGATGGCGGCCGCAAAGGCCGGCCACACGCCCCTGGTGCAAACGCTGCTGGAAGAGGGGGGCGCCCCCTGGAACGCCCTCGACCGGAGCAACAAGTGCGCCGGGGACCACGCCACSGACCACGAACACTGGGAYACCGTCAACCTGCTGGTGGAATGGGCGACGCGGTCGGAACTCATTCTGGGAACCATCCAGAAAGCCCAGAGAAACGCCGCCGGTCAGGCGGACCCAACCCCCGATCGGCAAAAAATACAGGCGCTCKCCGTCCCGGTAGAASAGCAATCGTCCACGAAATCGGACTACCTGAAGCAATCTCTCACGTACAACAGCGACCAGACGGCGCTTCTAGACGCCGACAGGGACGCCGTCATGATGGAATGGGAACGGCCCATCATGAAGGCCCACGCACAGATTCTGTTGGAGGACGTGAGTCCTCCAAAGGAGAGCATCCACAAACCGCGGAGGGTCCTAAACGTTGGATTCGGCATGGGGATCATCGATTCCATTCTGCAGGAGGAATGGAAGCCCACCCAGCACACGATCATCGAGGCCCACCCCGACGTCTACGCCAAGATGTGCAGGGACGGGTGGAACACCCGGCCGAACGTGCGCGTTTGCTTCGGAAAGTGGCAGGACGTCCTTCCCGCTCTGCTAGAGGAAGGGACTCTTTCGTTCGACGGGATTTTCTTTGACACGTACGCGGAGCACAGCTTCGACATGGAAGATTTCCACGAGCTCATCACCAGAAGCAGGGAGGGGAGCCACCACAGCCTTCTGAGCAAGCCGTACGGGGTCTACAGTTTTTTCAACGGGCTGGCGCCGGACAATTTGTTTTTCCACGGCGTTGCCTGCAACGTCGTGAAGCTCCAGCTGTCCAAGCTAGGGCTGGACACGGACTTTCTGCAGTGCCAGATGACGGCTCCCCCCGACCGGGACACGGCTCAGGCCAAGACGTGGGAGGGCATYCGGAGAAAATATTGGCACGGCCGGGACGTCTATTACCTGCCGAGGGCTTCCTGGAACCAGGAACATCTGGGGCGAAAAACCAAAACAATGGAAGCTGAGGCTTCCGCTGGAACAGATGCGAACAATGCTGCCTCGTCGTCCTCGTCTATGGCAACCGAATACCAACAAGACGGGAAACGACRACGGCGGTAGAACACACTTAGAAAGAGAATTTCTTCATTAAACAAGGAACGAAACAGAGAGTTCGTCTCTTTCCCCTTTTTCCGTATCATTAGTCGTTCTTTACAAGTCGCGTCCCGCGGTGCCCTCCCGCTCTTCGGAGCGGCACCGCTTCGATTCTCCCTCGCCGGGGATCGTTCCGTCTTTGGTTTCATCTCTTTCCGGTGGGGGKTTTGCGAGCAGGGCCTCGATGCGATCCAGCTTTGCGCCGAGGGCAGCAGCGCCGTGGTTCTGTTTCCATTCGTCCCACTCCTTYCGAACCGTTCGCACCTCGTTCCACATCMKGCTCTGGACGAAGGCGATCCACAACAGAAGAACCACGCAGAACGACTTCCAAGCGGCATCGCCGAGGGTCGGTTTCGTCCCCGCGGGAGGCTGTTTCGGAGCRGATGGCCCGGGAAGAGAAAGGAGGGGTGCGGCGTTGGTGGTGGTATTTTCCGCTGGTTCCTTGGGGCTTGCAGGCCGTGGGRCGGCACCACCCACCGTGGCGGTATCGGAAGTACCACCGGAACACCAATGCTCGCAAAGGAAATCGGCCAGGCCGTTCATAAAGGTTTGGAATTCGCCCTTTGTGGTGTTCGAAATGATGCCTTCGAAAAAGGTTGATTTCACAAAGACAATGTCAAACCGAATGCTGAACACCAAACGATCCCCGCGCTTGTCGTCCGGCACCAYCTCGATGCACAGCACATCCTTCACGTAGAAACAGTCCGTCTTCGGAACACCCTTCACGATGGTTTTGGTTTCCACCATTAGGCCGTTTGCGCTGCCGTAGTGACGGAGGGTTTGTTTCTTTTCGGCCCGTGCGGTGGGCGGGGCCATGGGAGCATTGACCGGATGGGTGTAGTGGATGGTCCTGGATTGGACCCTCGCRGACGAAGTTGCTCTTTCGTTTTCGCTTGCTGGTTTGTCGTCGTCCGTCCAGTCCGTGGCCTCCACGTCGGTGTCCCCTACAACGTCCGTCATGTACCGGCCCATGCCGTGCGTGGCATCGTTCCGGAAAAAGGATTCCACAAGTGCATCCAAGAGATCTTGCCTTTCGCCGTTCTGCGACGCGTTCCTCGGCAGCTCCCTGTTYTGGACGGCCACCTGCGGGAGCGCTCGGACTTCCACGAGGGCGGCTTCCCATTCGGCACGCAGGAGCTGCCCGTTGTCTCGGCCCGATGCTTCCCCCTCGTCCTCCTCCAGCATCGCGGCGGCCTTCGTGCCGGTGGCAAGGCCCCCGCAAAGATTCGGTGCCGCCGGGACGGACACCGACGACTGCCGGCGCATGACCTGACGCTCGGGTGCATCGCGCCCCGGGCTCTCTTCGACCGCCCGGGGCATGGCTTCGGCTTCCTCCCGGACCGGGGCCGTCGCGGCGAGCGGGGGATCGCCGAAGCGGAAGATCGCCGACATCCGCGCCGGATCGCTGTGGGCCCTTACCATGTGTCTCGGCCGGATCGATGCCCGCCCAGGGGTGATCAATCCCGGGGGGTTGCCCGGGAGGCTGTCGCTGTGCAGCCTCGTGAGTGCCTCCAGTGCGCTGCGGTGGTCCGAGAACCCATCGAAATCGTAGACGCCTTTTTCCTGCTCCGGGGAGGTGGTGGTTTCGATGCGGATGACCGTCTGGCGCTGGCTTTCGCTTTCGTTTTCGTTTTCCTTGTCGCTGTTGCYGTCCGTGCTCTTCCAGCGCTCGATCTTGACCACCGCTTCCCACTTGAGGACCACGAAAAACTCCAAGAACAAGAAACTTCCCAAAAACACCACGCCRAGGGGTCCGACGTACAGGATTCCGGTACAGTTGTTGTGCTGGCACTCGAATTCGTTCAGAACGCACCCGATCTTTTCGTTGATCTTTGTCTGAATGGGGGCAGCAAGACTCGGACTTTCTGTGGCGCTCCTTTCGTTCTTTTTTGTCGCTGCGRCTTCGTCTCCSGCCCCCGCATTGGTATCCTTTGGTGATGCATTGGTTTTGCGGGCATCGTCTCTGGAAGACGGCGTGGTTGTCGTCGACGTCATMGACGACGATATGTGAGGATCCTGCTGCTTGTCTATTGGACTCATTTTCTTTGTGTTTCGCTAATTYGTCATTGATGCTGTTTGTGCTTATCTATGATGATCTACTGTATGATGTGTAACAGTTRCAGTACTGGATCGGTAGATTTGCAGACGTYGTGACAGAAAAAATATCTTCTTTGGCGCAGTCTTCTCCCCTCAAAAACGGAAGAAACGCAATTTTACCTTCACGAATGAAATTGCCATCAGCAAGAGTGCAAGTACGAGTACAAATACGTAGTAGTAGTAGTCGTAGTAGTACTGGTACTTCATCGCTAGTGCTACCGCTACTACTAGTAGTACCAGTAGCAGCAGTACAACTAGCTATTAGCTAGTACTGGTAGCTCTAGTTGCACTTGAAAGTAACTACTAGATACTAGACTACTAGTACCAAGAAATAATACCCGCGCTACAACTAGTAGAGAGTCCGCAATGACCGTCGTTATTTGTCACTGGCAGCCCAATAGTATTATCTTTATCACCATACTAGTATTTTCGATATTACCTTCCAAGTKAGGGCAATGAAACCTTCTCCTATCACTTGGAGAGGAAGAGAAACCTGTGYAGGTTTGTGGTACCGCCACGGCTGCAAGAAAGGTGTTACAGCAACACTTTTTCTGCATTATAATTTCCTGTACGCCAAGGCATCGAGGTTTGTCGTTTACTATTTGCACTATTGGGAGAATGCATTGTCAGAGATCGCAGTAGACGCGAAAAAGAACAAAGGCTGCCCTGTTTGGTGCATGCACGCTTGCTTGGTTGTGTCTAAATTTATTGCCTGTTCTTCCGTATGTCGTTAGCAACTTGTCTATCGTAGTAGTTTTAGTATATTACCTGTTTTTCCTTATGTCGTTAGCTAGTTGTCTATGGTGGTAGTGGTTACATCGATGGCGTCCTCATCGTCGCTCTTGTCAAGAATCGACGCAGTAACGCCTCCTCCAAGCATGGTTACCACGACACCAAGAGAGAGTTCCGTAGATATGTGCACGCCAAAGTATTCCGCAATGAGCTTGCCACCGATAAATCCCAGTACGACGGCTACGGCTTTGTCGAGGTACTTCAACTCGGACGCCGCCTTCGACAAAATCACGTACAGGCTTCGCAGCCCCATTATAGCAAACATGTTCGACGAAAATACCACCAGCGGATCCTGYACCGAGTGACAAATCAAATTCAGAGGCGAAGGAAAACAAACGAATGAGAAACAATGCTTTCTTCTTTTTCAGTGTTGAAAAACATTATCGTTTCGAGACAATTCCTGCTATGACACTGCCGGAATTTCCCAGCACAYCTTTCGTTGCTACTAGTCTTACCTCGGTCACTCCAAAAATGGCGGGGATGCTGTCTACCGCAAACACCACATCACTGATCTCAACAGCAATCATGCACAACAACATCGGGGTCGCCGTCCTCACGCCGTCTTCCATGGTGAAGAAACGATCCCCGTCAAATTTGTCCGTCGATTTGAAAAGGTTGTTGGCAAACTTTACGATCGCATTTTCGCTGAGGTCCTCATCGTCGTCTTCTTCTTCTCCAACAAGAACCTTGAAMGAGCTGAACAGCAGAATAGCAGCAAATACGAGTAGCACCTCGTGGATTTGGTTGAGGGCAACTGCTCCGGCTCCGATCATTGTTGCTCGCATCACAATGGAGCCGATGATGCCCCAATTCAASACTCGGTTCTGGCACTCCAGTGGAACCTTGAAGTATTCGAACAGAAGCAGGAACACAAGAAGGTTGTCGATCGATAATGACTGCTCAAGGAGRTACCCGGCGTAGAATTCACCGGAGGTCTCTGGTCCGGCTACAAATATCAACAGAAATCCATACCCAATAGCAGCTCCTACCCAATATAGCGTCCGTCTAATTGCTGTTTTGTACAGATTTTGGTCGTCTTGTTCCACCCACAAACCGTTCGGTTTCATSGTAGACGAAGTTGTTGCTGTTTCTTCTACGTCAGCTCCATCGTGAAGGGAAGTACTGCTTCTCGATGGAGGAAAATGACTCGCAATGTCTGTAAACTTGTCGGTCTGCAGATTTATTTCAAGAGAACCATGTTGCCTTCGCTGCCGGTGTGGACAATGTTGCAGTAGATTGGTGGTCACCGGTGTCGACGGAACGTTTCGCACCCGATTTGATGGGACAAAAGCGTTTGCGAAATGAGTTGTTCCTGCGTATGAGACCACGATAAGAAATATTCTGTATATTATCGCTATCATCCTTCGTTGTTTCTTTTGTATTACTTTGTATATTGTTTTGATTTCCCTGCGTCGCCAACCCACGATTGCGGATATGTAAGCTCCGGCACGTTCTCCTACTAACGATAAATCAATGCGATTCTCTAGATTGCTCTGCGATTTTGCCCCTTGGTATACAGTGTCGGTCGATCTCTTGCAACCTGAGGGTGTCTTTCTCTAGCGTGTGTTTGAAAGTGACTAGTGATRAGTAAAGTATGGCTAGACTTACTCAATGTGTTACGAAGAACAACACATAAACGATGTGAAGTTCCTCCTGAACCGCACAGAAAACAATACCGGTAGGTGTGCTTACCAGSACTACTAGTACAACAGCGAGCACTCCTAATATTCGTGAAGCCGATGACAGATGTGAATACGTGTACACGTGACAAATTTCATAGCGGCAAAATGGATGAATGATTGTTCCTCCCCCTCTGACGCTGATACACGCGTAGTACGATACGATACCGTACGACGGAAAACAATTACCGTAGTTTAATTTTTCGTGACTGATTTTCTTCGAGTCAGTCAKTCGTTCAGGGTGAGGCGGTGTTGCAGTTGCGGCATGGAGCGAAGAGAAACTTTTGATCGAACCAGTCGTTCGTACGGTAGGTGATTGGCGATTCTATTGAAGTTCGTGCGTACGTGCGTACTAGTGCTACAAGTSCAGTCTACATTAGTAGAATACCCACGTACTTCAGAGTATGCATCGTACTGTATCGTACTGTACAAGTGAATTCACAGAACGAAGTTATACAACGAAACACACCCATTACAACCGAAGCTACAATGTTCTTTTCATATTATTAGTAGTACAGTAACACACTTGCTAGTGCACTACRTTTCTCGTGCATACTAAATAAAGTGAACGAATTTGTCTATTTTGCTTGGCGTGCTTTGTATGGTTGTGTCATCGCGTTTGGTATAGMATCACGTGAACACGGCAATTGGATTTCGTGGATCTATGAAGACCCATGCAGGATGCAATCCGGTGGCTAAAAAGACGGTGTGGTTCCGCTCGGATCGGACCTGATTGACAATGATGGAAAACACCACTTGCAGGGCGAGATCCGAATTCTTCGCCAGATGCATCTGCATTTTGTGCTGTCCAAGATTGAATGCTGCGTTTTTCCAGAAAAAGTATGACGTGAGGGTTTTGTTCTCTCTGTCCCCTTGAGAAGACAAAACCAGCTGGTCTTCGTCATTGTTGTTCTTCAGACTACCGGTAGTTKTCGCCACCGCAGCACAATCCGTGCCTTCCCCCGGCAAATTCGCYATCGTGCTTTCTAGCGTTTCTGKTTGGAAACTCTCGCTGTTGTTGTCTTTGGCTTCCACTTGCTCCGATTTTTTAATTTCATCGCCCATTGCAAGRWCTTCGTGGGATAGTATCTTGGAGGAAGGACGTCGAAACCTAGAAAACCACGAGGATGAATTCCTTCTTTTGCAGTTCTCGTTTTCCGAACCATTGGAACCTCCATCCCCGCAAGAAGGATTGGWATTCTGTTCCTCTTTCGAGGTTGGATTCTTCAMATCCTGCTTTTGGTCGAGAGAAAGCTTTTCGATTAGCTCTTCCCTTGTCATCCGAAAGGTTTGGTGGTTCCCGATCATCTTGTTGTGGATTTCCTGGCACTGGACGATCATGGGTGGGCTGTATTCATCATCTATGTCATCCAACACGAGGACTCCCTCCCKGTCAAGATCGTACTTRGATTTCTGCTGGAGTGTGAGYCGTGGTAGAACTGGGACGTTGTTATTTTGCTCGTTTTCAAAGTCGTGGTTCATTTTTTCGTCTATCGTTTTATTGCTGCTGGCATCTTCCTCATTGCCATTGTTCTTCSATGTAGCCATTCTAGTCGAGGGCGGCAGATCTCCGAAGTGTTCGCGGAGTCGCATAGTCGTCTGCCGCCGCTTTTCTTTCTCGGTTTTAGTTTTCATCTCTTCGAGTGTTCTAGTATTTTCGCTTCGTTTGGTGGTGATAGGAGTGATTTTTTCTATGCTGTTGCCATTACTAGGTGTGATCAAGGTATTGTCGTCATCTGGTTCGGTTGTAGCTGAAATTATATCTGTATTCTCTTTAATCTCCGTCGTATTCTTCTCGGGATTGTACTCGTTACTGCTATTTGGACTGAATTTCGCAGCTGCACTATCTTCCATGCAAGSACCATCAAGTTTCGCCCCCGTATGACTATTTGAAAAATTGCCATAATCATTATCATCTTGGTYATCGTCATCCAAGTAGTCTTCCATCTTCGGTGGTCCATATCGTGCCATGATCGCTACATATCGCGACCACGACACCGTCACGGCGGCTGTCTTGTATAGTTTGTGGCAGCTTTCAATTTCGGTTTCGGATTCAGAAGAATCAATGCTGCTGTTTGTATTCACATTGGTATYGCTGTCAATGCTGCGCTTCCCATTGTTGCTTTCGCTGTTTTCGTCTTCATTACCGCCATSCAGACTTTGGTGCGTCAACTCCCTCGATGCCTCTAGCTGTCCCTCAAAAACGGGGTTGTCGTACCGATAAACCGTCCAGTTTTTCTTGGCAGGACCCGAGGGTCCCACCCGGAGCTTGAGGTCCCGGAAATTGCCGCACGAGGCCGGGCCCAATACATCGAACCAGCAGAGGGTTCCTGGAACTGAACACGTGGTATAGAGGACTTCGCTTGTGGAAACATCGACGACCTCAAAGTCCCGCTGGTTATGGGCACCTCCCTTCTTGCGAATTTCTAGGAAYCGATAYGAGGTTGTGGGTTGACAACCGTCGAGGGTCTGGTCGGTTCGAGTGGGATCGAGTCCACCGTCGGCGACCGCAGTCGACTTTTTGGAAAGGTTGGAGTCGTCTGTTAGTYCTTYAGTTAGGTGTTTTGTTTCTTCTTCCCAGAGAGTTTCGTCCAATCGRGACGCGCCGCCACCCATGATCCGTAGTGTCGTGTGTTTTGTCTGTTTGTTCTGCAGAAAAGATATGGCTGGATATGAGTACCGTACTGTATGGTCGTTACTACTCGATATGATTCARTTGCAATGTTATCTTCCAATGAGTTCCCTTTCGATTCTCCAAGAGCTTCATTGCACTTGACGTTCGTCCTCAACGCGAAAGCCTTTTCCTTTATCTCGTGGCTGGAATAAGTTCTGTTGAAAGTTTCTTTTTCACTTCGTCGACGCCAACTAAGAGTTGAATTTCTTCCCWMACTGGGCATTCACAGAAGAAAGAAAAAATTGGAAGCCGCGTGCTCTACTAATACTATCGTGCGCTACAACTTACACCTAGCATGCCCAACGACTTTTTTTGATGATGTCATCGTRCGCCTACCTTAAATAAGCAATGATAGTACSGTACGTACGACTTCGTACAGTARTTTCTAATKCTACAATWAAAAACAATCAACGATGGATTCGATTAACATTGCATACGGTATCTCTGATCTAGATTTCGAACCAGGTCTCAGATTTGATGAAAGAAAAGAAAGCGATAGCATAATRATTGAGCCTGATAGGAAATWAAGAGAACGAATTTGAACTGGTTGGAACTAGTAGAACTAATAATGCCAGAAAGAGATATCTAAAGGGGTTTTGCAGATAAAATGATGCTAGCGTGACAACAGGTAAGACTTCCACCGTAGTAGACTAACAGTCCTGAAAATAAAGACAATCCTACGCTACTACTGAATGGGGTGGAGAATAAAATATGGGTGGTGTCATAATCGCGACACCGATGGACGCATTTTTACTCGCCTAATGCTTTGTTTTGAGAGCTATCATTCGTGCTCTGTTGTAGTTGCAAAGGGCCCTGAACAGATCAGTAGACCAATCGATTCATTATATGGTCTTGTATTTGTACACGGCCGAGGCACAGTCTCCATGGCCCTCCAGCTCAAGGCGATCCCCATAAACATTCAGGATTCCAAAGGTGGTGGTGGGTGGCTTGGATTCCAGYACGGCCTCAACGACGCGGAAGTGGATCCCGGAGTCTTCGTCGTGGACGTACCCACCCTTGTGGGCGTGTCCCGCAAAGGAGGCCACCACCACGTCGGAGTACTCCCGCAATGTTTGCAGGACGGCGTCGTAGTTCCASATAAGGCAGACAGGGTTGGACGAGCCCGGATGGATGGGCTGGTGGGAAAGAACAATGACTTTTTGATCGCCACCCCCGTTGTGGTTGGCCTTTCGCGTGGCCTCCAGCTCGTCCCTGAGCCATTCCAGCTGGGCGGGCCCGACGGCTCCGTTGAAGGCCACGAATCGTTTTTGCAGCCCCTCGAGMCCCTCCGGAGAGTTTTCGTTGCCCGCCCCGAGATTGACTCCGTTTTCGCGCTGCAGGATCTCCAGGGCGGCCTTTCGCTTGGCCGAGTGCTTGGGGCAGCGCCTCATGAGGCAAATATCGTATCCGTCGAGAACCAGAAACTTGATGCTGCTTTGTTGTGGTTGYAGAGGTGGATGCACGTAAGAATAATACCCGACGAGGTCTCCGTCGTTGTCACCGGTGTCGTCTTCATCGCTGCGGGCTATTGTGCTATTCCCATGGACGTTGACGCTRACGTTAGTGTCRCTGTGTGCTGCTTCGGAGCGAAAGGGTATGCCCAGTTTCTCCCGCAGCTCGGTCCTGTTCAGGTTGTACAAGCAATGGTTTCCGTACGAGTGAAGTATTTTCAYCTTTTGCTCGGTGGTAGTTCCGGAATAGGGCTCCATAGCGGCCTCAACTTCTGACAGCGAGAGSATCCCCGGGTGGTGCGGTTCTTCCGTCGGAAAACCTTCCCCCCCGTTGCCGGCGATGTCGAGGCATTTCCCGTCGATAATGTCGCCGAGGTTGACTACGAGATCGACRCCCCTGGTTCCCCCATTCCCRCAAAAKGTTTCAAAGGCGTGCTTGGTGGCCGTYAGCGAGTGCCGRTAATACCGCGGTGTGCCCGTGTACGAAAAACCATCYGGRATCGGGGCGTACTGGATGTCGGCAATCATTCCTACCGAGAATAGCGGGGACTCWWCTCCTCCCGGAAGTGGTTGTTGCTGTTGCTGCGACTGTTCGTTCATGACGTTGTTWTTTTCTCCGTTGTCCTTGTCGGCGGATGCCGCTGCTTGYAGTTGGGTCGAAACGGAGAGGTGRCTCCGAATCGTCGATTCCTCGAAAAGCTGCGAGTTYAGCGTTTGGTATGGATCGAACAGTTTCGTTGGCCGAAGGGACAAGGAACCGCAGAATGGAAACAGCAGAGCCAGAACCAACAGAACCGTCAATGCCGGTAAACTAATCTTGGGCTTCGGTTTACCGATGCTCATCCAAACAATCAACTCTAAACTCTCGAATTCAAGCGAAGCAACACTGAATTGATTAGTAGAATGAATCCTTTTCCCCTTTCATTGGTTTCTCGTTTACTGGCAACACATCAATTGCATGCAAATCGGAATCGAAGCAATCGGAACGGAACGAAAAGATGGACGACTAATGATCTATGTCCACACTCACAGTAGTACGGTACGTACTTTCCTTAGGACGTAATGTCACGTTCGGAACCATTCCGTTACCCGTACGAGCAGTACGTACGATGCTTCACAATTACGTACCGTATGACGTCATATGGTAGATATGTTCCGTACATTTTGAATCACGAATGTACATAATAGATGATGTTTACTTCGTAGGTTATGATTATGACCCCTAGTATGATCTCTATCTCAGTAAGGTAYGAGTACGTTCTGGAGTACTTGCGCGAGTACCCAACGGAACGATAATCGTACGTACTCCTACCGTCCGTAACGCACGTACTGTAACTTACTGTAATTCTCCGTAATTGTGATTGTGTACGGTATCCTCTCAAAATGACCAAGAGACCACAATTCCGTTCTCATCACGACGTAACGATACGCCCTGTACCTCCGCGGTATGGAATGTTGACAAGGAGACACAGCGCAGGGGATACACCAAAACACAGCATAGCACAATCACWATCACCACCATGATTGCGGCGAACAGCTTTAGYCTACATGAACTAAAAGGAAAAATATCTTCCGCCCGACGACACAACTGGAATGCGTTTTTCGTAGGGTTCCTGGCCCTGGCCGCGGTTGCTTGCGGGATAGCCGTGTACGCGGCAGGGGTTGTGGTGCCGAAGCTTCACGACGCAAGGGACATGTCCCACGGCAAGCAGCACCMGTCCTTTGACGCCCCCGACCTAAAACGACACAACGCCCAGCACAAGCACGAATTCGAAAGCGCCTACCACATGCCAGACAGAAAAGTCCTTGATCGGGAAGTCGAGGAAAGCCTCGAGGCAGAGAAGAAAGAGCACAACCAATTGCGAGCTCAGCCCGCGGCCGAGAAGCAGAAGGCGGGGTTCTCTACTACCGATGCCGGCTCCAAAACGGAAATCCGTGGGGATGCCGCCAACCAAAAATACCACATGGTCTTTTCCACCAGCTGCTCCGGTTTTCAGAACTGGCAGGCCCTGGCCTTTTTCTATTTTGCGCACAAGGTCCGCCAGCCGGGGACAGTAACCCGGCTCGTCTCAGGGTGCACCGACGAGGAGGAGAAAAAACTTAAAAAGATCCACAAGGAGCGTGTGGTTCCCCTTCAGATCCCGGGACTGCAAACCTTTGAGATGCACGTGACCCCCGGCTTTGACGACTCGGGCGGCGGGAGCCAAAAGTACTGGAACAAACCTAATGGATTGCTTCACTGGATGGAAGAGTCCCTTGGCTTCGACGGAAAATCCGACCACGAGGACGACGACGCSATAGTTATAATTTTGGATCCTGACATGATGCTRCTGAGGCCCATCACGGCGGACTTTTCGTCCAAGAACTACGCCGGGGGATGGGCCACCTCCAAAAATACCAAGGAACACGTTGYGAACAATATGTCGCCCGTGGATTATTCGCACGAYGTTGTGACCCACGGAAGACCCCATGCCCAGCAGTACGGTTTCGGAAGCAACTGGCTCACTTCCTTGAAGGGCCGCCTMGAGGAAGTCGTGGGCCCGGACTCCCCCGCCCTTAAGCTTTCGCTAGATGACGCCAACGACTACTACCCTGCCGGGCCGCCGTACCTTGCCACCGCGAAGGACATGTACCAGATCGCCGTCCACTGGGTCAAGTTTTTGCCAAAGGTCCATGAGATTTTCGAGCCCTTTATGTGCGAAATGCACGCGTATTCCGTGGCGGCTGCCCACCTGGAGCTCCCGCACAAGCTGGGGGTAGGGTTCATGGTCTCGGACGTGGACAGCGACGAGGAATTCGGATTCATAGACAAACTCATGCCGTCTGAAGTGTGCATGGCACCCCCCGCACTTGAGGCCACGGAAAGCGGCCAAGCGATCGACCTGACCGATAGCACCACCATGGTGGATCCGGTCTACAAAGMGGTGGGCATTGCCACCCAACAGCTTCCCTTTGTGCTCCATTACTGCCAGCGATATGCCCTYGGGCGGTGGTTCTTTTCCAAGTACAAGCTTCGCGAGGACATATTTACGAACTGCACGGCACCGCTCCTCCGGGAACCCCCCCGGAACGTTGCAGAGCTTTACCAGTGGTACATTTTTCCCAATGGGATCGAAAAGTTAAATTTTGCCTCCGTCAAGGACGAGAAATGGAAGCAGGAAGGGCTGCGAGTCAAGCATCTGAGACACGGCTGGCTCCTCTGTGCCGTCCTKTACGGAATCAATGGGGCCATCGAGGCCTACAAGACCGAAACCTGCCAGGACAACTCGGACGCCTTCCAAAAGACGTGGCACTTTCACGACGAGGTGCTCTTTGACAAGATGATCRCCGATCCTTCGATTCCGAGCGATCTGTTCGAACCAGATGCGAAAACCGACGCCGGAACGTCGGGAGGCACCCAGTGAGCGACGTGCTGCATAAAAGGTTACCCTCGATACATTTTCCAAAATGCACCACCAGCGCTCTCGAGCTATAAGGGAAACGCAAATCCTTGAAACCAAMCAAACAAACAACCTAAAAAAGAACTGAAAATTCTGGATTKGCACCGTTGGGGTGAAAGTGGCYGAGGGCGGCTCGAACGTGGCATTCTTAAAGGTTTCCTTTTTAGTAAACAAATSTCAATGAATGTGTTCCAACCACTTCGTCGGGCTGCCTATAAGGGGAAGGAACGGAGAGACAATTTACAAAACAACTAACAGTGCAACACCAACCATTCGTTGGTGGATCGATTACTATCTTGGCAAACAAAGYCAACACAGAGTCCAACCGCTTATTGTATACTTCAGTGCCGGTAGAACTGCAACAKAGTCTGGGATTGGTGTTTGGTCCGCGCTGCAAGCCTTCGACAMACGAGCATGTCGGAGCGTGAAATAGTCAGACATATGTGTAGCCTATCAATTACAAGTGTATAATTTCGCACGGGTAAATTTGTTTGTATAGATCAATATCTACTATTTTGTCAATCGATTTTTTCGGACCTGAGAATAATCCCGGCCTTTCGATTTTTAGGCTTACATCGGTGGCATCAACCATTGCCCATTGACCTCAAACCCTTTGAAGAAAATTGGCATTCGTCTCGTTCCTCATTAACGGATTGGCGCTAGTCATTTCAGGTGTTGTTTCTTTTGTTGGCATCAAATGTTTTCTTCGAGCCCCGTTCATTGTTGCGTTCGCTACTAGTCCTTCCCGCCACCCAAAATCACGGGAAGAGAATCCTTCGAGTTTCCAACAATSACGACCTTTGCGTTCGGCGACTGGGCGAGTTTTTCGGTGGCCTCGATGCCCTTCCACTGCAGCAAGCTCGGGGTGATGCCCTTTGTGACGATCCTCTGAAACTCGGCAATCCCCTCGGCCTCGATGGCCTTGCGCTCGGCCTCCTGTTTTTCCTTTTTCAGCACGAATTCCATCCGCGCCGATTCCTGCTCGGCCCGGGCCTTCTCCTGGATGGAAGCGGACAAGTCTTTCGGGAGCACCACGTTTTTGAGGAGAACGTCCTCGACGATGATTCCACGGGGTCCCAGTCGCTCCTTTAGCTCGCTTCTGAGGTTGTTCTGGATCTCGGACCGACCCGAGGTGTAGAGCGCCTTGGCTTCCGACTCGGAGGTGAGCCCGCGGATCGCCGAGCTGGCCTCCGGGAGGACCAGCTTCTTGACAAACTGGGGACCAACCGATCCGTACAGCGACAGCGCCTGTTTCGGATCCAGGCGGACCAGAACGGCCGTATCGAGCTCGACCGTGAGTCCTTCCTTGGTGGGAACATAGTTCGACTGCTCCAGCAGCTCAGTCTTGGCAGACAGGATCTCGACCTTAGTGATTAGCGGGTTTCGAATGTGGACCCCMGGATCATACCGTTCGATGCTCCCAAAGGTGCTGGCAATACCGATCTGCCCGACGTCCACGGTKKAAATACATTGCAATCCGAGAAAAAAGGCAAYCACAGCAGCAATTACGAGACTTCCTTTGCGGCCTAGTCCCAACAGTTCCCCTAGGTAGTTTCCTGCCGCCAGGGCGGTGGTAGAACCGGAACGCGGAGGTCTTCTCGCGCCGTCGGTCCCGAGGATGTTGCCCGCAGTCTTGCGATTCACTGGTTGTGAGATCCCTTGTCCAAACAACAGAGGAATGCCGACGCTGCTGCTACGACCAAGTGCTTTGCCGGTCTTCAATTGTGTCGAAAACGCTTCCACGAGGACCGGGCTACTTCCAGATCCTTGCTGGCCGACCACTAGAGCGACAGCAGAAACAGCAGCAAATGAAGATATCTTCCACCAATTTCCCCGGCGGATACTTTGTTTTGGATCGAAGGAGGGTTTCATGGCTGTTTGTGATGGATGGTCGATCYATTCATCTCACTTCGGAAAGATAGTGTCTGGATATTATGTCGCTTAGTATCTCATGTGAACTCTAACCGAAGGATCAAAAGGTCGAGACCAAAACCGTTTCATATATCGCGTTCTAGCATCAATGCAAAGCTTAGTCTACACGTTTCAATTTTCGGGGTGTCAGGTGCGACGACAATGTAATCATTCACAAAGCAAAATCATGAGGAATCGAATCATCACAAGTCCCTACCGTACGCAACCTCAGCGTCTTCTCTCAGTCCGACGTCGACACGTTGCAATTCCAAGCTCTGCAAAACGGTATTGAAGGGGCGGGGCAATCCAATACAAATCGAAGGGAGCGTGTCAAGGTTAACAAAAGATCTGGTGTAATAATTCTGTCAAGTACCGTACGAGTTCGTACGTTCAGGTTTACGCATATGCCACCTGTTCGAAACTTTCCTGCAGTTGTTCGAACAATGCTTCTCTGTACCATAACCATTGTACGTACGTGGAGTACGAACTACCACTCCTGCCACAACGGAAGTACGAGTAATTGTAACTGCGTTCACATCACAAAAATCCTTTCACAAACAAATACTACTAATSTTTTRCWTTGTACACTTCAATTTATGCTTTGGTCATTAAGTTTTTAGTTTTTCACAATCTCTTCATACATTGTGGATGCCAAATTTTGTTACAGATTGCCGTATCATCTGTGAACTTTTGGATTTTCATCTAGTCGTTAAAAAAAACTGTTTCATTCTGTTTTTGCCCAGGGGTGTGTTGAATTGATTGGTTTCATCATTGGCTTTTGGCAGATAGTACGGCGTCCACAATCGGTCCCATGTGAGGGCACACCGCAAGAATGATATCGTTGTCTTGGAATTTTTCGTACAGCTCGTGATACTTGAGTAACGACGCCTCCCGTTGCTTTTCCACCTCGCGTTTCAACTCGAGCTCTAGTTTCGCCCTGGCTAGATTCATGACCTGCTTCTTCTCCGTCTGCTCAGATAGCGGCTGCTGACTCATCTCCTTCTGCGGTCGTTGCCGCTTTTTGGTTGGCGGAGTCACGGCCTTGTTGGAGGATGGCTCATCTTTGGCAAGCGATTTTTGTTCTTGTAGCTGCGAAGACGGCTTGGGTTGTTGCTTGTCTTTCGATACGTCGCCAACGGGCGACTGTGGCTTTGATGTCGCCTGTTGCTTTTCGAGCGCCTTGCGCATCTGCTTGAGAGAAGATCCGTCCTTTGCATTTTTTTTCTGCTTTTGCAGCGTTTTCAGTTGTTGCTGCTTTTGGCGAAGAGGTGGCTTTGGGTTTTGCTTCTTCTTGGCAGCCTTTGCCTTGGTATTGGGTTTCGCTCCTTTGCCAGCAGGGGCTTTTGCCTTGGTCTTCGCCTTGTTCTTCGGCTTTTTGGTGCTGTTGGGTTTGTTCGCGACTGCGTTGGCTTTGGTCTCTGTTGGTTTTTCGTTCACGGTGCTGCCACCCTTGCCTTTTTTCGCCGGGGTAGAAACCGCAGCATCATCACTCTTTGTTTCTTTCTGCTCCTCCTTTTCTGCCGCTGCAACCTTTGTGGATGTGGGAGTCGYATCRATTCCAGACTCGGCTTCTGCTTTTTTCTCCTGTTTCTTCGCTTTTTTGGTCGGGGTGGGATCTACAGAAGCACCGTCTGCCTCGGCTTTCTTTTTTTTCTCCTGGCTTTTGACGGKTTTCTTCTTCTCAGYYGATTTGTTCTTCTTCCCACTTGTTTTTCCCTCTTTCTTGACGGGTGTAGAYAATACATCATCACTGGCTTTGGTATCCTTCTCCTCCTTTTTTGTTTGCTTCTTCGTAGGATTTGCCTTTTGGCTTGGAGTGTCAACTGCAATCTYGGTCTCGTTTGATACAGCATCTTTTTTTTCTTGGATCGCTTTTTTAGCAGGAGTGGAAATRACAGTGCCTTTGCCCTTGGATTTTCTTTTCTTTGTCGAAGTTTTTTTCTTTTCCTTCTCGCCGCTACGTTTCTCCGTCTTGGCTTCGGACTTTTCTGCCTTAACATCGGCAATCTTTACTTCTTCTGTTTCATTAGGTAGTTTCGCCATCTTACAATACGATTCTTTGAACAAACTCTTTGAAAATGATTGTGGTTTGGTCAATGAGAAAGGGTTCCATTCTTAGCACAAGGTTTGTCCCGTACAGTACTTACAAGAAAGGGCGAGTTCGCACCGACGGCGACGATCAAATTTCAGATTTTTGTACTGCAGTTTTTCGAGGTTTCTTTTTTGATCGGAACGTGAAATTGGTGGCTGGGATTTGAATTACGTCATAATACATATGTTTAGTATTTCTTTAAAGTAGATTAGTATGGTGTACCATAATATGGTACTACGTACTTCGTAGTTACTAGTAGAACGAAGTATGTACCCATACTTTCTTACTTCTGTACTTCGTACTATTACGAAGTACAGTACTTGTACCAGGCACAAGCACCGTCTGTAAGTTTGCTTCTTCTTTTTAGTCGAACCAGTCGTTCTTTGGTCCAGTTTTTCTGAGACAAATTTTCCGAGACAAAACGTGTGAGGGTAAATCCCGAGTAGCTACTAGTGCAAAACGTGTTGATCACGGATTTTGGTTTCAATTTTTTTTTGTCTCAGCAAGCACAGCTTGGGAAAAGATCTTCCTTCCTGTCGTATCACTACATCGAGCAGCCTATTATGGAACCAAAGGAAAAACGGTTAATTCTGTTCTGTTGCCATCGATACAACTGGACTCGTGAAATGAATGTGGTTATCTTCCTTGTCATATGATTTGCGTTTCGTAGATGAATCGTTCATTCTTTCAATCGCTTTCTTCTTCAGGCCTCCTGTCTCCAAGGTGCGTTGCCTCTATGGGTCATCAGAGCCAGACCCTCCCGAAGCAAGAAATAAAGTCCAGTTACTTTTTCTGGCAAATCCCATCGTTTGTGTCCGTTGATTCTTTCTAAAAGAATAGGCCAAAGAGAGGTTGGAACAAAAAAATATTATCACTCTCTGGGTTGCTGATATCATTGTCTTCAATGATGCATCTTCCTGCATGGTTGATAGTAAGCATATATATTATATTTGGTAGAAGAGAAAACCTTCGATACATGTTATTGTCATGAACACTAGTCCTTTGGGTTCCTCCGAATATTCTCCGGGATCCTCGAACTTGTCAAGAAAAATCGATTTCCACATCAACAAGCCGCGACTGATTAGCTTGAACACTTTTTTTTTATTGCATTGGCTACTCTTTGGACACTTGCGTCCTGAGATCCCTCAACATGTATGGAACGAACATTTGGAAATTTTGGAAGGACGTCACCAAGTAAGAGAGTCTTCAATTGATCATCGTTGAAGCTACACCCATGAAACTGTATTTTCCTGAGTGTACTGCAACAGCGAAAATTCAAGGTCTGAAGATTCTCCAGAATGCCATCAACTTTTTCCTCGTAAATCAATTCTGAAAAGTTTAGTGTTCTTAACATGGGCAACTGATTTGCCACCCAATCACAAAAAAATAGCGGATGCTCTCCTTTGTTTGTGGGTACTCGAGAGAGACTTCTTCCAATCGAGTCAGCTCCTTTTGATGAGAGAAGTCTTCCGGGAATAAAAACACATGGAATATAATTGTTTTTAGATTTGACAAGGTAGAAAGCTCCGCGGGAATCGATCGGCAATAATGCAACCAAAAAACATTTATCGTCTTGGATGAACCATCAACCTAATGATCCTACCATTTTCATCAGTTCTAATGTCCCACAGTTTATTGTATGAGCGCATACCATCTATGAGACTCATTGGGTTGCGAGGATCGATTGGGTTAATCTGCCTCAAAACCAAAACCAAGATAACCCAATCGATAAAGTCCACTTTTACATTCGTTTTGACATACATTGGAATCCACGAGTGGCATAACTCTAGTAATACTCTTTTGCCACCTTTTCAATTTTTCTAGGATGCCTTTCAACAGCCGATTCCTCGCTGAGAAATCGAATGCTATTGGTGGCTCGAATGTTGGTTTAACGGCCGCTCATGTGAAATCCTATTCAAAATTTTGTTTTGATAAAAAAATCCATGGCGCCTTCGTACCGAACCTTGTCGAGCGGAGAGCACATCGAGAAATCGAGATTTGATTGAGTTAACAAGAGGCCGTTAGATGTTGATTGTATACCCGCCCAGATCAGAGCCACTCGGGAACTTACCGTATGAGTTGCTGTCTTTCTTTTGAGCCAAAGAATGAATGAAACCTCGAGAAGAAAATCAGATAACAAAGCTTCTTCGTGTGTGCGATTCGAATCATGCAAGTACTTCCTGTTCTGAAAACCTCCAAATCCCCATAGCCCACTCATCGCACCGACCGATCCGGGATCGATGGCATTTTTGCGGAATCGCCTCGGAAGCAATCCCAGACTCGAAARCCTACTYGGTGTTTCACCGTGGTGTCTGCAGTCCAAAGAGCACACTCTCGCTTGGTCGCCGAGGAAGCCGAAATTTTGAATCTTGACATAACGAACCACCATGCGGTTACCAGGTAAGTTGCCGTTGTGAAACCTTCTATTACGCGCTGTCACGGTTTCGAAAATGACTGTATCGTATCGGGTACGAACTGAGTAAAGGATGAAGGATTTTATTTTAAGTGTTCGTCGGTTACGAGTACCTGTACCGTACGATTGATCGCGCGTTCGAAGATACAGAACGTGACCATCTCTTGCAAACGGGACTTATCAGGTAGTCGATAATCCGAAGAAGTATGTTACCGGTACTAGTACTCTGGTAATTGACTTCATGAAAGTATCTTCGGTAGTATTACAGTATTTCGCAATGTACAAGTATTGCGTACCGTACCAGGTACCGTAAGGAGAAATAATCAACGTTGTTTGTGTGTCTGCCTGCCTGCTCGTGTTCTGGTCTTATTCTACCCGAAAAATGCCAATATTTTTTATCAATAGAATTCTATTCCTTTCTGTTCACACTTGATTTTGGCGTTAAAAACCTTTTTGTTGGGGGTGCGATTCCGTTGTGCCCCCTATTGAATATTGCCTACGTTGTTGGATCGGTTGTGCGTCCCAAATTTCAGACTGACTGGCGTGCAGAGCAACTTGAAGATCCATAAATACGTCGTTTGGTGCTCTATCTAGGCCTTCTGCCCTGTGTGATTGAGTGAATAATCGAATCATCGAAAAAACAAATCAAAATAATTTCGTTTGGTGTCGTCTTTTTTCCACTTCGCCATGCGTGACGGTAGAAAATAAAGTCTTGTCTTTAGATTTCGGAGGTTGTGTATTCTGATTCATTCCTTCTCAAAAACGATCCGAATCAATGGCACACTGTTCATTCTTCTGTTTCTGCCGCTGATACAGATACTGATACAAATAAAACGGGACAACTGGAGAAAGAGTTCGATTCATTTGTTTCAACGACACCTGAACTACTGATGACAACATGCTACTACTCCGAAGACGCAAAGAACAAAATGAGCATTGCAGCCAGCCGTCTTGTCCGCGTTCGGTGGTGACCTTTTACCACGACATGAGCGGTGAAAGCAGTTCCGTGGAATTCTACTCCAATGGAGATTCCCATAACCGCTTGCGCCAGGAAATCGATCTCCAGGATTTCGAGGCATTGGTAGAGACCTACAAGTCTTTGGTGACCAATCACCGCAAGAATCTCCAGCGAAGGAAAYGCCGGCTACGTCGTCTTCGCAGTGGACCCGAGTCTGCCCCCGTCCACCGCTCGGATGATTCGAAACGCGAACCCGACGATTCTTCTCCAATGGTCGTCACCGAGGTCCACAAGAAGGCAATCGTGACACTTGTCCGGGTCGATGCCACCTCGAAGCGCGTCATTGGAATCCGGCCTGAGTTTTTTCCGAGAAGCACAAGGGTGGTCCCGTCTTGCCTGGGCCGGCTGGACTCTCTCAAGTGCCTCCGGCTGGACMGATGCACCCATCTGGCAAGGGTTCCATCGGCCCTCGGACTAGGCCTTTCGCGGCTGACGGAACTGCGCCTGGATGTCTCGGCCATGAATCAGCCCCTCCCGACCAGTTTCGGGGAGCTCGGGAACCTGACGACCCTGGTTCTCTTTGGWAGCTGCGCAAGGTTGGACGCTGGCAATGTTGGCGAAAACAATTCTTCGATGGTCCTGTTCCCCTCGTCCATGGCAAAATTGAAACTGAAGCACCTCGAAACCCACATTCAGAACCTCTTGCACATTTCGCCCGAGGTGCTCGACGGATGGAGTGCTTCGAT